GCTCTGCCTTCTCTGTATCCTCCGTCACCAGGACACCCTCCTCATTCAGCAGCGGCCCCACGTTGTCCCTAGCCTTCCTTTTGCTGCTGATGTAGTTGAAGAAGCCCTTCTTGTTGTTTTTGACATCCCTTGCCAGCTTCAATTCCAGGTGAGCCTTGGCCTTCCTCGTCGCATCCCTGCATGCTCTCACTACGTTTCTGTACTCTTCCCAAGTGGCCTGTCCCTCTTTCCACATGCCATGCACCTTTCTCTTCTGCCTGATCTCCGCTAGAAGCTCCTTGTTTAACCATGCAGGTCTCCTTCCTCCTTTGCTAAATTTCTTTCTCAGGGGGATGCATTGCTCCTGTGCATGGAAGAAGTGTTGTTTAAAAAGCGACCAGCACTCATGGACCCCCCTGCCTTCGAGAGCCCTGGCCCACGGGATTCCTCCCAGGAGCTTCAATGGAAACCACTTGCTGGGTCATAGCTATGTGTGCACTGGCCAATTAGCTCCAACTACTTTAAAAAGATTAATTGAAAATTAACATGATTATCGTTGACATTTCTTCCATAAGAAAACAAGCCATATTGTATTGCTAATAAAAACGCAGGATAAAAAACTGTACACCATTCCGGGTGGTTTTCTCACATTATATTCATGCTTTGAATCTGTTGCCTCACCGAAAAGCTTCACTAGAAAGATGATGAGGTTTAAGCTGTTGCTAGTTACAATGCATGTATGGACAAGCCAATTTGATAGAAACAAAGACAGATCTTTGTTGTTTTGATGTTGATTACTGGGGCGGCTTTCCACTGTGGTATCTACCTAACCGTGATACCATGCAGTGAGCCCATTCTCTTCTGTTTCCTCTAAGGAGAGCTGCTTCTATGCCTCACTGCATCACTGCCACGAACAGAAAGTGAAAGCTCTGCGAGCTTTTTTAAGCTGTGGGAGCTTCAGGACACTTGTCTTTCTCTTTCCTTTTCGGAGTGAGATTTCACTCTCCTCAAAGTGAAGGGAGGCAGAAAATGGATAAGTTGCGTGGGGCGCTGGACTTCTGCATCCGCCACCAGACCGTCCTGGGTTACAGTATTGTGTCCCTGCTGACAGCTGCCAGCGAGCACATCTTCTCGTCTGTGGTGTTCCAGTGTCCCTGCAATTCTGGGAACATGCTGTATGGCTCCGTCTTCCTCATAGTGCCTGCCTTCATCCTCTTTCTTCTTGGCTATATGGTGAACACCCTGACGTGGCGCCTGCTGACGGGCAGGTGCCCTCCGGAGACGGGCTGTGGCTGCAGCCCCTGGACAACCTGCACCCGCTACTGCCTCGGGATGATGCCGGGGACAAACAGAGCCTTGGGG